TAAATTCCTTGAAGGTGAAGCAGAATTTATATAAAAACAAAAAAGGTATGTAGGACCTTGAGAGATCTCTTCTTGTCACCAGGATATCGACCCTTTTTACGAAAGGTCAAAATAATATAATTCTGAGATCTGTGCAAGAGCTATCGAAAGAAATCTTGTAGTTCGGATAAATAAATATTTTTTAAGTGAAAAATTCTTTAGGGGTTTTTGTACTTTTTTTGTACAGAGTTAATTAGATTGAGCCGTCAGATCTTCGATGTGTAACGCTTGGATAAAATCGGCTGGAGTCGACCAAGTATTTTTGTATATGGATTTAAATCTTACTATTGTCCTTGAATGTGACAGATTGTAATATATCTCAATAAACAAATTTCCAAAAAAAATATCAAAAACTAAAAATCGGACCTGCATATTATTAGCAAGGGTAATGTTCACCATTTCATCCTCTTTGTGATCAGTTATAATTAAAAAATTTATCTTAACGCGACGCCGTGTTAGAAAAGCGAAAAGGAAAAAATAGTGTCGAAAACAAAATAATAGCGAGTTTTTAATTAAAATATCTCAGCAACTAAAAATCGGATCTACATTCTGTAAACGAGGGAAATGTTCAGCATTCCAACCTATTTATAGTGAGGTATTATTTATAATTTATATTTTATTATTAATTTCGTCTTGTTGATGTTTTCAGGATTATCATGTGGCCTAAGGCACACGCCTTTATTTTATTATTTACACTGCCTGTTTATTATTTTCACTTGTCTTCATATGAAATATCTAGTAAGAAAAATTATTGGAATCGTGAACATTTTTTTTAATTAAACACAAATATGTGAACAGTCTAGCTCAAAAAAGAAAAGGAGTACGTAAATGAAATTACATATCATTATTTATCTAGTGCCGTTATATTTTTGGCTTGAAAAAGATTGTATTGTACTGGAAATCTATACCATGATTCCTGATTAAAGTACACGCTGTTATCGCTCCCACACTCGGTCTGTTTATGTTATCTCCAGTAGGCTTCATTCCACATACATGATTAGAATGGGAGACAAGATGGTTATACAATTCGTGCGGTCACCCATCCAAATACTTATCACGCTTACCAGAGCTTTATTATACTTGGCCATCTTGCCTCCAGTTTATATATACATATAAATTTCGGTCATAGATATAGCCTCATCCAGTAAAAAAAAATATTAATTTTTTATCTTATTTACCATATTACTATCTGCAAGATCTTCGGATATTTCTTTGACAGTTTTTAAACGATATTATAAAATCAACGCACTATTATGTGGACAAATTGTTCGTTTTTTTTTCTCCTCCCAGTTTTTCTATGAATGGAAAAAATGAAAATGAAAAAATATTTTATTATTCTGGGACTGTTGTCCCTTTAGAACAAATTATAAATACAGATTGTATGTCTGTGTGGTTACAATTAGATTATATATTTACAATAAGAGTTGACTAAAAATAAAAATACTGAAGAAGAGAAAAAAAAAAAGAACCAGAAAATTGTGCATATATATATGAGAAACTAAAATAACCTAAATTAATTGAGGTAGTCTCTGGGGGTACTTAGATATTTCTCTTAAGTGTATTTCGCAATCAGTCGGATTGAGAAAGGAGTAGGTGTTTAAAGAGGAGAAGTTTGAAAGAGGAAACTGATTGAGCGTGTCGAATATCTATGGTGCTTTTTTTTTTCTTTTTTTTCAAAATTATGACTACCGTTGATTGGTGGTACACTATCCTAGTTAATGTTTCCCGAGAAAATTCTTTTACTTCATGTAATGTCACAATTCAATTTTTTTCTAACGAGGCCAGTTTTTTTTTTATTATTCACAATTAGGGTGAACACGTAAGTTATGGGCAGGGAGCCTAGTGGTGGAAACCTAATGTTGGACTTTAAATTTAAATAATAAGCTTCCATGTTGATTGAAAGGTTCCATTTTTTTCTAGATTTTACCTTCCTACTAACAGTTTTGATAAGAGTAAGTAGAACATTTATCTTATCTTATATTACCAGAACAATTGAATTTCGGGGTGACCATCACTAGTACAAAAAGTTGTTTTGTTTTTTTATATGGAGATTATAGAATAGAATAGAATAGAAAATAAACTTTATTCTGGGACGAGGTCCCTTAAGAATAACAATTATGAACAAAAAATAAAAATCACATCTGGCCAAAAATTACATTAATCAAAATTAAAGAATATATACAATATTTTCAGAGAAAGTATATTTAAACAAATAAAAAAGTAAAACCATTTTGAAAAAACAAACATTATTTTAATGAATAGAAAAACAGAAATCAGGTAAAATAAAAAACAAAATGTTATAAGCACCATGGGTTGATTCTTAAAATTAAAACTCAAAAAAATTCAACTATCATTCACCTCAGTCAAAATTTGATTCATAATATTTATTTCACTGTACAGCGTCATTTTGAGATGTGAGAAGAAATTGGTAAAGATGATATTTGAATGAGGACAAGGAAGAGGCATGGTGGATATCAGATGGCAAGGAATTCCAGAAGGCAGTGGATCGGGCAATAAAGGAATATTCAAATATCTTAGTTCTATGGGAAGGGATATAAAGGTCGGAAACACGGGATCATGTTTTCTGGGAGCCTTATACCTTATACCCGCATAATTGAATATTTTTTCAATTTGAAGGTGTTAAGTAGAAAAAAAATATTTTAGAGATTCTACACATCCAACAGAGAAGTCTATAACTATAATAATTACGGCGGAATAAAAATATTCAGAAAAAAAATCCTTAGCTATGCCTCATCACTGATGCACTTACCCTTCAGCTTTTATCCTGGCACTAATAAAAACTGAACTGAGAAACATTGTCAAAGTTTCGTTGTAACCTAAAGAATAAAGTAAATATAAACAAAAACATTAAATTGAATCAACATAATAAATATATCCCATATAAACAAATCTGGTGCGGTGAGCTCACCACACAACTTTCACTTCTTGGCAGATTAATGTATTTTCAGACAAAGGGAAAGTGAACGTAAAAATTATAGACACTAAATTTATTTATATTACGTTATGGGTATTTTTATTTCTATAAGTACCCTTATATTTACATCTATCCGGAATCTATACAATTAAATTTTGAATAATACTAACAATAGCACCTATGAAAACAGCATATGTATATTTACATCATATTGTGGGAGTCCTTATTATATTAAGATCATATTACGTATGAAAGCGTGTTATTATCCTTCGGGCGCACTCCTGGTAATTGGAACTTCAATTACAACTATTCTCCATTCCGATCTCTCCTTTAATTAATTTTCAAATTCTTCCATATTTAGTACTTCTTACATCTTTTATATTAGAGATTAATGTGAAATTGTCAATTGTTTCAAATAAAAACATTAAAGGTACTTTAGGGGAAGCTAATATTGAAAATAGCCACTTAAGCCCTGTAAGAGAACATCAATCACAATAAAACCTACTTTTTTTTAAAACTGCTTAATTTTACACTGATATAATGAATTTAATCATAATCGTTAGAGCCGTTTCAGTGAAAAACTTAAAAATGTGTTTAGTTCAATATATAAAGTGCCGCTTTCGGTTAGCCGATTTTCACGAAAAAGTTACATACCAAGCACATAAAAATCTCAAATATGCAATTTCACTTCCGTACGACTTTTCATTTTTGAGCTAGACTGTTAACATACACACACAGATCATTTTGCGAGCCTTGGTTATTTCGACTCAGGGGACCAGTTATTTCGAACTTCAAAACATGTATTTTTATTGAAAACTCAGATTAGAAAATTTTTACGATCGCAATACTTTCCCTTACTATATATTTCATACATAAGTAAGTGAAATAAATAAATGGGTGATGTAATTTCTATGACCGCGAGTGTACATAAACCCTAATATCCTCGTAATTTGTAATTCTTCAGTGAACATTTAAGAGTTCGTCCTAGCATTTATACTAAATGTTCAAACTAAAAAAAATGGTGTGTCCACTCACAGGACTTCCCTACCTATTTCAGAAAAGTTTTTAAATCTTTACATATGTTCATAAAGAAACAAAAAAAAAAAAAATTGAACTAGATTTATTTTCCTGAAAATTGTTCAAAGATAAGATTTTAGTACGATTTATTTGATAAAATAAAGCAATGTAAACCGGTAAGGTAGATCAGTGTAAAAATTTCAATACTCTCTAATATTGCCGATCAAAAATTTTTTGCCATTGCTTAATTTTGTCAAAAAATAATTTCTGTTAAAATAAGAGGAAATAGTGAAGCTTGTGTGATGGGGGCAACAGATTTTCTTACTTTCACTTAGTCATCTTTATTCTCTCATTCATCCCTTTCTGACACCAGGATATGAACCCATAATCTTACATTGGAAATTGAATAGCTGTAACTTCGTTAACAGTTGTTTAAAATTAACAATTTTTATATGGTTTTGTAGGGAATTTCAGTATTCAAAATAAGTAAAAATGTGTTTTCGCGTTACAGTCTATAGAAAAACATGTTTTTCATTTATTGCGCGCAAGCTATTGCGTAGGGTGCACCAAATTTCTGTCACAGGCATGAGTCAAAACCCTACAAAATAAAAAAAGATGCAACAAAATCGATTCAGTAGTTCACGAGAATATCTTGGCACAGACAGACAGACCAATGGTTAAAAATGTGTTGTAATGTAATGTAATGTAAACGTATAGATCCGTCGAAAACCGTATATCGGGAGTTTGACCCGATCACAATACTTTCCTTACCTAGTATAGATGGGAAATTAAAAAAGGAGGGGAAAAAAGTATTAATAACAACATTTACCGATGTAAGGAACTGGTGAGAATATGACAAGAATTGAATTATGTTAATGAGGAGCACTATGAGAATACGTCTCCTCCATCTTGCAATTACAATTGATTCGGCGACTTGCCAAAGAGTTCGCTGTTGACTGTTGAGGACCTTGGAAATTTTCGCGTATAATAAATAGCAGCAGTCTCTTCGGGAGGAGTTAGTTCTATTCCGCCATGGTGTCTGTACATCTGATCTTCCTGGTCTTCTGCGTCGGTGGAGTCCTTTCTGCCCTGCGTGAGTACATCTGTTCATATCTTAAAAGATCTAGCACGCACCACGCATTTTTATTTTTCACTCTACTTTATAGAAATAGGTATCTTCATATGTGAGAAAGTGGAAGTAATAATAATAGACGGTATTACATTTTCCTTTAAAACAATTAATTACCAATTTATGATAAATGACATTTTTTCGAAAAAACAAAGGGGGCTTGGATCATATTTCGTAAATTTTTTAAAGATTTTTATTGCTGATAAAATTCGTATTAGGGAGTTTTCCAATATGTGAAATACACTTATCAACTTGGTTTCTAATTATAAATAATTGAAAATGTTTTTATCATACTTATGTCATAAGTTTTTGAATAGTATCTAATAAAAAAAATTAACTTTATTTAATATTGTCTAACATTTAAAAAACATTATTGATACCATACTTAGTGTAAGTTCATTTTTACATTCACTTACCTATAGATGAAATACATAGTAAGGGGTCATAATTTTTTTTTTCATATTTTTTTTTTCATTTTTTTCCATAATTTTTTTCCACATAATTTTTTTTTCATTTATATCTTATGTAGGTTTTTATGAGATTTTTCCTATTGTAAAAAATTAATTTCAATTTTCTAAGTAGTATTCAAACCACTATTATGTCATGTGTAAGGTTACTACAACCATAAACTTGTAACTTATCTGTATGACATGTTGTAATGTATATATAAAATAAAAAAAATAATGTATAAAAAAAATAAATATATAGTAAGGGGAAATACTGTGATCGTGAAAATTTTCGAACCTGAATTTTCAACGGAAATACATGGTCTGTGTGTATGTGACAGGTGTAGCTCAAAAACGAAAAGTCGTATAAAATCGAAATTGCATATTTGATGTTTGTATATAACTGAGACAGGTGCAGCAACTTTTTCGTCAAAATCGGCTAACCAGAAATGTCAATTTATATTCTCGATGAAATACATTTTTAATATTTTCTCGTAAACGGCTCTAACGATTACGATTAAATTCATTATATCAGTGTAAAATTAAGCAGTTTTAAAAAAAAGTAGGTTTTATTGTGATTGATGTTCTCTAACAGGGCTTAAGTGACTAATTTTCAATATTAGCTTCCTCTAAAGTACCTTCAATGTTTTTATTTGAAATAATTGACCATTTCACATTAATCTCTAATATAAAAGATAGTTTAATATAAAATATGAAACAATTTGATAATTGATTATATTAGAAATATGATATCGTAATAGAGAATAGTTGTAATGAAGGAACCAAAGGGATACGAGCATAACCGAGCTGGCCCGAAGATTAGAACAGGCTTCCATAGTAACATGAGCTTAATATAATACGGACTCCGACAATATTATGTACATATACATATGAGATTTTTCTGAACGTTTTCGTTGGTATTATTTAATATTTATTTGTATAAATTATAGCGATATAAAAATCAAAATTTGTATGTATAGAGGGGTACTTAAACAAATAACCCACAATGAAATATGAATAAATATAGCGTCTATAATTTTTACGTTCACTTCCTCTTTGTCTGAAAAAACTTATTTTTGCTAAGAAGGTGGTAAGTGAAAGTTGTGTGATAAGTGCACCGCACCAGGTTTTTCCCTTTTTTTACTTGCTTGATCCAGTTCTCTTATCGTGTGAGGTTGCTTCCTATAGAGCCTTAATAGCCCTGGAGTCAAAGCCATCGCAGGCGAAGGTTTGATCGTAAATTAGGAAAGTTTATGTTATTCTGAATAAAAATAACTTCGTCTGCCGTTTCAGAGCCGCTGCTTTCAAAAATGGAGGCTGATTTAAAGAATATTAGGCCAGCAATTTGAGGGTCGAAACGGGAAATCCATTGCGAAAAATATTTTTATCTTTAAAAGAACAGTTTTTTTTTTTTACTTGTATATATGGATTTAGACATGTAAAAAACAACATTGCTAACGCGGGCCATCAAGGGAATACTTTTTACAGCCCAATTATGCCCAAAAACGATCAATCTAGTGTACCATAAAATAGTATCTAAAACAAGTTATTTTTTTTTATTTTTTTATTTATTTTTTTTTTTTTTTGTCCTTACCTTCCTCGCCGTTAAGGCTATACGGAATTTTCCCGGACCAAGGGGTGTGGGCGGGGATTTAAAAGACTCCCCTGGCACCGGGACGCGAACTCGTGACTATTTTTATATCTTTGATTCATAGATCAGGTTGCCAGGCAACGGCGGTGCAATGCACACGCTTTAGCCCATTCGGCCACCCCGCCCACCAAACAAGTTATTTTAAATGGTTTGGATTACGGACTAACTTTCATAGATTTTTGTGTAGCTAATGAAAAGGTCTAATCGCAAGATGGTTTGATATCTACTGAAGTAGTAATTAAATTCTTTGGTACTTAAAAAAGATCAGTATTTGAGTACAATACTTGACACTCAGTACTCAAAGGAGCGTTTGCCCATCTCTGCGCTCTAGTCATAATTTAAAATAGAATATAATAATATAAATAGAAGATATATAATAAATAAATAAAATAACAATAATAATATAAAATAGAAGATTTTGTGATAGTCTAAATATTAGCTTCAAATCAGTCGTAGAAAAAATACGGACCAATGAATATATTAAAATTAAAATATGATTTCACGAGAGTTTTTGTTTTAAAAAACAAAACAAATTATAATCTTATTAAGTGAAAAAAAAAACTAAGTTACAACTCCATAACTGTATAAAAAATCTATCATAAACAATAGATTGTTCTTGAATATATAATTAATTTCATTGCTAATTATTACTGGTAGCTTTGTATTCTTTTGCAGAGATCACTCTTATTATCTTCGTAGGTGCAGACTTCGAGGAGGGGAGACAAACCCTTTCCCTTCCAATAAAAATAGAGATAGGGCGAGAATATAGTTTCGTCTTTCAAATATTTCGGAAAACAAAAATAAAATAAAAATGTACAATCAATTTACATGAATGAATAAAATATGTAAACTAAAATGAATTAAGAAAATCGGAATAGTCAATTAGATGGCTAAACTAAGGACTATAGTTAGGTACGCGAGTATTTTACAACATTCTATACTTCTATTACTGAAATTTTAGTTTATATTCTAATATAATTATATCTAGCAACGTATCCTAGGATTTTTATGATTTATGCATGTCCAATTTTATCATATTTACCTCGACAAATTTATAGCATCGGGAAATTTAGAGATCATCTCACTGCCTCAATCCTTTAAATAAAAATAAACATCTGTAATATTAATATCGTTTCGTCTTTCAAATATTTCGGAAAACAAAAATAAAATAAAAATGTACAATCAATTTACATGAATGAATAAAATATGTAAACTAAAATCAATTAAGAAAATCGAAATAGTCAATTAGATGGCTAAACTAAGGACTATAGTTAGGTACGCGAGTATTTTACAACATCCTATACTTCTATTATTGAAATTTTAGTTTATATTCTAATATAATTATATCTAGCAACGTATCCTAGGATTTTTATGATTTATGCATGTCCAATTTTATCATATTTACCACGACAAATTTATAGCATCGGGAAATTTAGAGATCATCTCACTGCCTCAATCCTTTAAATAAAAATAAACATCTGTAATATTAATATATGTAATATTATTTGAATAAATATATTCAAATTCTTTGTAAACATATTGTCAAATATACCCATAGCATATATATGTACATATTTTATGTTAATTACCACCCATAATTTTTATACACAATATAAATTTCCGAGTCTCACCCCGCTTTGTGAGACTTGTTAAAGTTGAAATTTACATAAAAAATTAAGAAAATTTCTATTCAACGAATTTCCTCTACACTATAAATTAAGGAAAATAATTGGGGACGCATACTTTGGAGTTGGAAACCCTTTGGAACTCCGTTCTCTATTTTCTCATTTAGCTTACTAAATATCAGAAAATATGTAATAACAAAACTTTTTCAGGATTAAAATATAAACAAGTTGCGGATTTTTGCATACTCAATCTCATTCACGATCTAGACTAACCAGAGAATTTAGACGGTTACACATCGCTGAATTGCGTGATCTTTTTTCTATTTCCTTCCTTGTCCTTTCGGCTATACAGGATTTTTTTTTAATTTTATTCAGAGTGGATGAAAACGTTACCTACACGTTCGTTAGTTTAAATTTATTCATTAATAAAAATATTTACGTATCATTAGTTTATTTTAAAACTATAAATCTGTATTAATTTAATGACAACACAATATCAATTATCAATCTTTATTTGTTTTAAGGGAAGAACCCTATACAAATGGACTCACAAAATAACAAACATTATTATCCTTATGGAAATAGAAATTGATTTTTATACACAATATAAATTTTCGAGTGTCACCTCGCTTTGTAGAGACTTGTTAGAGTTGAAATTTACATGGAAAATTAAGAAAATTTCTATTTAACGAATTTCCTCTACCATATAAATTAAGGAAAATAATTGGGGAGGCATACTTTGGAGTTGGAAACCCTATGGAACTCCGTTCCCTATCTGCTCATTTAGCTTAATTAATATCAGAAAATATGTAATAACAAAACTTTTCAGGATTAAAATATAAAATTTGAGTTCTACCAATGGGTAGTTTCTCTTCATGTTGTACATGTCATGTTACCAATTTCACATTTACTTATTGTATTTTCTATGTAATACAGTTGTAAATTCCATTAAAATAATAATAAAAAAATATAAACAATTTTCGGATTTTTGCATACTCAATCTCATTCACGATCTAGACTAACCGGAGAATTTAGACGGTTACACATCGCTGAATTGGGTGATCTTTTTTCTATTTCCTTCCTTGTCCTTTCGGCTATACAGGATTTTTTTTAAATTTTATTCAGAGTGGATGAAAACGTTACCAACACGTTGGTTGGTTTAAATTTATTGATTAATAAAAATAGTTACGTATCATTAGTTTAATTTAAAACTATAAATCTGTATTAATTTGATGACAACACAATATCAATTATCAATCTTTATTTTATTTAAGGGAAGAACCCTATACCAATGGACTCACAAAATAACAAACATTATTATCCTTATGGAAATACAAATTGATTTTTATATTAAATAACAGACATTACAACACTATTAAGCATAAATTAAAAATTATATTATGTAAAGGTCAGACAGTTAAAATAGTTCCAATTATTAAATTAATATAAAATTCAAAATTGTCAACAGTATACATAAATAAATAAACATTTTTTTAAATAATATTAATAGTAAACTATGCTTTAAAATTAAATTAAAAGATTACCCCTATACCTAAGAGAACAAACAAGAAAAATATCCTGCCAGAATACATGCCGATGTACAATATGGAATTTTTGCCATATTATGCGGAGGACAATATTAAATATTACCCTACCAATTCTCTATAATTTGATATAATTGAGAAAAAAAAAATAATTTTTCCATATCTTCTGCACTGGTTGGTTTAAATATTTCTATCCCATCAAGATTTTCCATACCCTGACAAATTCTTACAATTAAACTACTATAAAACTATTATAAGTGCCTGGGCAAGCTTGAATAAATTAAAGTTAAACGCAGCGAAAACTCAGGCCATCGTTATAGGTTCCAACTCCCTCCTTAGATCCATTTCCACCCTTCCTTCCTTGATCATTAATGACCAACCAATCTCCTTCACCTCCTCTGTAAAAAATCTGGTGCGCGCAACACACAACTTTTACTTACCGATCTACTTTGAATAGAAATTATTTTCGGGCAATGCTGGGCTATTATAAAATATTTTGAAGTGCATTTTAAACGGAGCTAAAGTTTACAGATAACAAGTCATTAAGACCATTATAATTACAAAATGTCTATTTAATATATCGACGACAGGCAATAAAAATCTATTCACTCTATCTGCTTTTATAAACCACAGAATGACTAACTCCAATTTCAACATTTTTGAGTTGTCATTTCAGTGATATTTTTAGTTAAAAAAGTTATCTATGCAGACAATGAGTAAGTTGATTCCAGAGGTGGTGATTGCAGTGTTGAAATATAGAACTGAGAATAAAGGTATAAATTTAGGTACTTATTTCTTATGAAAGATGTTCTTAGGAAAGAACTTTATTAAATATCTGTAGAAAAAAGGTATTTTTAATCTCAACAATTAAAAAAATATATTTTAAATTTATCCAAATTTTCACCTCTTCAGGGAAAAGAACTAGAGACCATATCTTTCCTCCTAATTGTCCGATTTTAGCGATTTTTTTTTGTTTTTTTAGGAAATTCCATAAACTTTTAAGCCCTATTAGAGAACATCAATTACAATAAAACCTACTTTTTTTTTTTAAATTGCTTAATTTTACACTGATATAATGAATTTAATCATAATCGTCAAAGCCGTTACAGAGAAAAATGTAAAAATTTGTTTCAGCGTTCATATAAAATGGCACTCCCGGTTAGCCGATTTTAACGAAAAAGTTGCTGTCACATCCGGCCCATATACAAATCTTAAATACTTAATATCAGTTTCGTACTACTTTTCATTTATGAGATAGACTGTTAACACACACACACACAGACCATTTTGCGACACTTGGTTATTTGAACTCAGGGTACCTCAAAACATGTATTTCCGTTGAAAACTGAGATTCGAAAATTTTCACGATCGCAATACTTACCCTTACTATATATTATATATATACGTAAGTGAAAGTAAAAACTTAGGAATTACCATTGATCAAAACCTATAATGGAAACCCCATATTGCTCATATCTCCAGAAAGTCAATTGGTACACTTAAACTATTTCATCGTTCTCGTCAGCATCTCCTAACATCCAGAACATATCCGCAGGCTCCTCGTTTCCTCATTGATTTTTCCCTACATTAACTATGGCTGTGTGGTATACGGTGGCCTCTCGTTGGAGCTTGAGGACAGACTGAAGAGAATCATGAACTGTTTTTTAAGATTAGTCTTCGGGACTTCGGGATGGTCTCATGTGTCCCACCTATATGCCGAGTCAAAGTGGCTCTTCCCCTCTTCCCACCGCCTATACTTCCTTGGAAATTTCCTATACCAAACGATTAACTCCCAGCACCCTTCCTATATCTGTTGTCTCCTCCAGCCTAAACCCTTAGTCCACTCAATAAAAACGAGATCCCCTGTTTCTGACCTCTATATTCCATTCCACAGGACAAAAACCTATGAACGTTCCTTCTTAGCCCGCTCCGTCTCCTACTGGAATTCTTTGCCACATAACATCCGTCATACCTCTTCCCTGTCAACTTTCAAATACCTCATTTTCCAATATCTCCTCACATCCCAAAAAGAAGATTTACCACCATAAATTTCATTTTATGAACCGAATTTGTGAGAAGTAAATGGTGGTGCCTACTGTTTAAATTTTAACATAAAACAACAATGATTTTTGACTATTATTTTTATTATTTATTTGCTTTTCTCTTCACCTCAGGTCGTCTCTTTTACTTTCGGGTATATATGTTTATATTTTATACTTTTTGTTTCTCTGTGTACCAATATGAGCATGTGTATGTATACATAGTTGTTTTTTTCCATTACACCACAAGTAATTCTTAGATTTTATTTTATCTCAGTGTTTGCATATTATTATATAAAACACTGTAGATATTATTACACTTTGTATTAAATTATTTTTCTATTAGATAGCCTACTGTTTATAAATTGTGTAGTTATGTATACATAAATATGTAATTTCTCTTTTTTTTTTTTTTTTTCTTTCATCACAATAATAAGTAAATTTGAAAATATTTTATGTTCATTTTATATACATTTTTTTTGTTTATTTTTTAGTTGTTGCATACTATTTTTTAAAGAATGTATATAATGTTGGAATTTTTATAAGTTAGTTTTTGGCCAGATTTGTATTAATTCATCATTGTTATTCTAAGGGGACTTAGTCCCAGAATAAAGTTCAATTTTTCTATTCTATTCTATTCTAAATTGGGCATTTAAATAATATATGATGAAGTGTTTCTTTTTTTTTAGACAACACAATATGTTTCTTTTTAGCAAAAGCGGTACTAGTTTAATGTGTGCATGGAAGATAACATAGAATATGGAAAGTAGTGAAGATAATACCCCCTTGCGATAACATGCTGATTCGATAATTCTTATTTCAGCGAAAGGTTGGAGAGCCTGCAAACAGAGCGAACCGGAATACGAAGACTGCCTCAAGCAACAGATCGACAATGCCATCCAGTTCTTCAAGAACGGTAAGTTAAAAAGTACTCACTTAAAAAAATGTGGTGTGCCGACTCACACGAAATTTCCTATCTATTTCAGAAAAGTTTTTATATCTTTACATATGTCTATCAAAAAAAAAAATTGAATTAGATTTATTTTCCTGAAAATTGATCAAAGAAAAGATTTGAGTACGATTTATTTGATAAACTAAAGCAATGTAAACCGGCCTAAGATAGATCAGATAGGTCAAACAATAATTTCTGTTAAAAGTAGAGGACATAGTGAAGCTTGCGAGATGGGGGCTACAGATTTTCTTACTTTCACTTAGTCATCTTTATTCTCTCATTCACCCCTTTCTGGCACCAGAATATGAACCCGTAATCTTACATTGGAAATTGAATAGCTGTAACTTCGTTAATAGTTGTCCGAAATGAACGATTTTTATATAGTTTTGTACGAAATTTCATTATCTTTTAAAATAAACAGGCTAAGTATTCACAATAAGTCAAATTGTGTTTTCACGTTACAGTCTATAGAAAAACATGTTTTTCATTTATTGCGCGCAAGCTATTGCGCATGGTGCACCAAATTTCAAAGGCATGAGTAGTCCAAACCTAGGGAACATGAGTATGGAATTTCGTTACCTTTCAAAAATAAAGGCTTCTTACCCGGTATAGGTAGGAAAGCAATAAATTAAAATATTTGCAGAAAATAGAATAAACTGTAAGTTGTTTTTTCGGACTCAGGGGGCTCTGAAACGTATATATCCGTTGAAAACCGCATATCACCTAGTATAGGAAGGAAAGCAATAAATTAAAACATGTGTAGAAAACAGAATGATTTTTTTTTTTTTTGGTAACTTAATTATCTTTCAAAAGCTTTATTATAAATTTTACCATAGAAGATATACCTAGCGAGTTAGGTCCCAAAATATTCTTCTTTTCTATATAACATTTTTTCCTAATTTTTTTTTCGGGAATTGAAAGGTCAATTATTAGAACATTATAGGAAAGTTTCATCAAAACCGTTAAAGGCATTTTCGCGGTACAGTTTACAGAAAAACATGTTTTTAATTTATTGCGCAGCAGTTATTGCGCATAGAGCACTCAATTCGTAGCACAGGCATCAGTAATCAAAACCCTACAAAATAATAAAAGAAGCAACAAGACCGGTCCATTAGTTCCCGAGAAAATCTTGCCACAGACAGACAGACTAATGGCTAAAAACGCGTTTTTCGAACTCAAGAGGACTCTTAAACGTACAGATACGTCGAAAACCGTACATCGGAAATTTGACCCGATCGCAATACTTTCCTTACCTAATATAGGTAGGAAAGTAAAAATTAAGCAGCAGACCTCTATCATTGAGTTACATAATTTCCGTCATTTGTGTTTGGAAAAGGATTAGTTTGTGTATTTATTTAGTTAAAATTAAGGTGCCATGTACAAAAGCAAAGATTAGAGGCACCGTATTACAGTAGCATAATTTAAATCAGTTGATATAGTTTGTTATCCTTCAAAATTTGCTTCTGGTTTTCCGATTTCAAAGATTGATGACAGCTCCGAAGTCTTATAGAAATTCTTGAAGAACATAAGCACAGACAGTTTTCCATGAGTGCTCGATGGTCAATGGTGTGTTGCAGCTACTGCATCTAGGATGGGGCTTCCCTTCAAAGAGGTGTCCATGCATCAGCCTAGTGTGTCCTATTCTGAATCTATAAATTATGGTTTGCTCCCGACGGTTCCCTATTATCTCAGGCAGTGTGTCTTCATAAATGTTTTTCATTTGGTTGGTCTTTGCGACCATGGATCAAATGTAGCGCCATGATTCTTTGCAATGATTCAGCACGGCTGCATTGAAGTCGTAAAGCACCTTGTTAGGGTTAGGTTCTGGAAATATGGTGCAGGTTACCTTGGCAACTGTGTCAGCCAGTTCATTTCCCTGGTATACCAACATGACTGGGAAACCAGAGAAGTTTTATAAATTTGTTTGTTTTTGTAATTGGTTATGTTATGGAAAATACAATGGGGTTATTGGAGAGTTGAAAATTTTCTAATTCTTTGAGGGCCGAATATGAGTCCATTAGAATGCGAGTGCAAATAAGAACGTGAGTGCTTTTTATTTCATTAATAAGACTCACTTAGGACTTAATAAGACTATTTGGACCTACGGACTTGAACTTTGGAGGACAGCTAAATTGTCTAACATCAAACGCATCAAATCCTTTCAGTCCAAAATCCTCCGAACAATAGTCGAAGCTCCGTTCTATGTTCAAAGTTTTTACAAAAGATACAATGTTGCCAGAAAACCCCAATGTACCTAGAGAATCTAAAATTTTAATTCTTCAGCTTCAACTTCCTCTTTTCTCGGTTCTTCTATTAACGGTTCCGAACCCTGGTACTCAGAAGGACACAGATCATAATTTCCGTATTTAATATACTGTCAAAGTGGCTCTTAAACTTATTTAATGTATCTACTGGCTCGGTCAGAATATTGTTATTTCCATCCCTAATTCCAGACGTTACAGGTCCTAAACATTTACGTGATCTGTTTATACCTTTGTAAATGTCTCTTACGTTATTTTCAATTATATTAGTTTCTATTTCAATTATTTTATTTTTAAGATACTCCCTTTTTTATTTTTGAGCAATTTTGTCATTTCATGGTTTGAGGTTCGGAAGTATTCCAGATTGTCAGAGCTTTTAATTTAGCGGCTTTTCTTTCTTCGCACATGTTTAGGCAATCATCATCAAACCATCACGGTTTGTTATTCTTATTTTCCATTTTTCTTAGACACTAGTTACGGGACGTTTGAATATTATCTCTGATCTCTATCCATAACTTGTCAAATCCTCGTGGTCCTCTAAGCTCTAAAGCTTCAAACCTATTCTTAACATGTAGCTCGAATTGATTTCTAATTGATTAAAACAAATCACAAATCAAAGTTCTCGAAATCGAAACAGTTTTCTTTTCTCTTTTTTATATTAAGTTTTTGTCGAAGTTTCACGATTACTAATTCATGATCCGACCCACATTCTGCTCCGCGATAAGACCGTACATTAATTATAATGCTTTGCCAGCTATGTTGTATCAAGACATGATCGATTTGATTTCGTGTTTACGAATCCGGTGATGTCCAGGTATATTTATGAATATCCTTATGTTTTAACGCAATACTTTTAATTATCAGGATTTTCGAGATGGCAAACTGGAGACAGAGGCACTCCAGACTTGCTGGTAGCGATATTTCAGAGACGTTGGTTTAAAATCGCATTAATAAACATACGTTGTCCGACCGAAGACAGTGACGATGAAGTCAAATGCGAATTTTACGGTAAACTCCAATGGTTTTAGGATAAACTACCGCGAAACTCCTTGAAAATAACTTTAGGTGACGCGAACGCAAAGATGGGAAGGGAAGAAGTTTATGTTCCGGTAAAGAAAGTTTGCACGAATATAATAATGATAATGAGATCCGTCAGATCAACTTCACCATAAAATTGTAAATATGGAGTAAAATGTTCTTGAATTTTAAGAGAAGGTGCTGTTGCCAAACTTTATCAAATGCCAGGGAGCCATCTAAAAATACACCAGTTGCGTATTGTTTTTGAATTAATGCTCCAGCAATGTAGTCAGTTCTTCCCAGTAATTGTTGTATTGTTGAATGTGAGGAGCGAAACCGAGTTGATGGTTAGGTGTTATTTGATCTGTATGTCAATGTCAATTAGTCTTTTGTATATTATTTTTTTCGAAAACATTTTGGACATTTCGGAAGAAAAGGAGGGATAGGTCTGTAAGATGAAGGTTTCAATACGTCTTCGTCTCTTTTGTATATCGTTTAAACAAATTACCTTTTTGGACCTACGGACTTTAACTTTGGGGGACAGCAAAATTTTCTAACATCAAACGGATCCAATCCTTTCAGTCCAAAGGCCTCCGAACAATATTCGATGCTCTGTTCTATGTAACCAACAAAACCCTACATCATGACCTTAATATCCCATTTGTCCTCGACCTTATCCCTAACAAATTTTCCAAATTTCATCGGAACCTTATAAATCATCCAAATCCCCTAGCACAATCCTTATCTAGTTCCATCCATCCCTATAATCCTCCTCGAAGGTTGAAGCGACAGTGGCCCAGATATCTTTTGTAGTATATATCTTGGGGTTCTGACAATGGCCAGAATCTCCACTCAAGGCGTATGTGGAAAGAATAGCGCAGGGATCTCTTGAGTCCTGCTTTTCCTTCTATAGTTGGAGGGAGAAGCCTGGCTTGGGGCTCCCTACCTAATTGTACATATTGTATATAGGTATGACTGTGTGTTTATGTTTTTTAATTTACTTATCTTTAGGTTATTTTATTTTTTTATTGTAAACTAGCTGATGTATCCATCGTTGACGGGTGTATAGTTAAAATTTTAGAATCTTTTTTTGAGATGGATTTTGTATTACGGGAGGAGGAAGGTCCAAATTCATTTCATAAAATTGGGTCGGGAGAGGAGAGGGGGGTTGTTTTGAAATTTTTTATAGCTTATGGAAGGTTTCGTAAAAACTTTGTTATTCGGTTATTTGTTTAGGTATCACACAACTAAACCGACCGCCACCGATCCATTAAAATTTGTTAAGTGTTTATTTTCATTTATGATGAAGCAACGAGATTGTGGAGTCGATTAATTAATCAAAAAGAGTTGTAGTCTCTCCACTTCTTTAAACTCTGCTGAGTTTATCGCTGGCAAAATAACATTTGACATTGAGTCACCTAGATCCGTGTAAAATTAGAACTTTATCTGAATATTCAGGCAGGCGTGGTGAAATTTTTTGGATTTTTTTCCTGATTTACGGTTAATTCGTTTGGTTAAGCCTAAAAATGTATACAACAACATTTGTTAGGTTCGGGAAGTTGAATCGAATGACAGATTGAACGGGAAGATCGGACAAATTCGAAAAATGAGTGTGTTTTTTTACCCGTTTTATGTGACAACGCGTTGCAGATGTTCGGTATTCCGGATTTTTCTCGTTGAGTAGTGATAATTTTTTCCATCAGTTGAATAGTACAACTTTTAAATGTGGCTCGCGGTAGAGTAGGTTGGGATGAGAATCGAAGTAAGTTACTGCCTAACCGAGATCTCTAGACAAATTACTCAACAATTCATAACTTTAATTCTACCCAATATTTTGTTTTCATTTAAAGCCTATATTTTAAGTCAAGAAACCTAAATGTAATGTCAACATTTCAAAAGTCTACCATTAGCCATTGTCGAGCTTACCACTGACAAAATTTCGTTGTAAAATGCGGGCATCCAGACAGACAAAAATTTGCGAAAAGTGAATTTGTTGTCTGCAATGTATGAAACGGAAATATATCATAAAACGGCTTGATTCTATTCAATGTACAGACAAAATCTTTATTTTATTTATATAGATAGTTTTTGATTATTATTTTACTTTTGTTAATTTTATATCTTCTGTATATATGGTGTGAATGTGTTCATATATCACTATATTTAGTGTCTACGTGACAGATTGTTATATTTCTAAATAAATAAATTTAAAAAAAAAATATTTGTTTTTCTGAGCAAAAATAAGAATTATCACGGCCATAGTGACGGTGCTCTACTACTCACGCATTTCTGAAGTTATTTAAAAGTTTTGTACGTAAATATATATATATATTTTTTTTTTTTATTGTTTTCGTGGAGGTGACAAGAAGATGGGAATCATCCCCTTGGACCCACTCCACTTCGACACGATGGACGTCGAACAAGGCTCCGGTCCTGTCAGTCTCACCCTCAAGATGAAGAACGTATCCTTTGTAGGCCTTTCTGAAAGTCGTGTCACCAGTGTCAAGTGAGTAATCAAATTTTGTTCAGACTTATTTTAATAAATTAAAATACTCCGCCCCCCCCAAAAAAAATTTTTAACTATAAAAAATGGATAAATGTAGCTTTTGAAAGAATTTAATAATTGAATACAGGAGAAAAAAAGAAAAATGCTTATCCAGGTCGAAAATGAGTCTCCGGAAATAATAGTCAGAAGGTAATCAGTATACGGAAGGAAATTAAATGGAATTTTCTTACTAAATTGTAAATAAGCTACTGAAAGTTAATTTTAAAAAATTGTTTTTGGCGGGAATAGGCGAATAGCCTTCCGCTTTTATATCGGGGCTTAAGGTTATTTACACACGTGAACAAAACCCCGGCACCGGATATAGACTTTTTTGAGGGTGTTTAACTGTCGTTGGGAATTCGGGAATGTAATACCTTTTGTGACATTGAGTGAGAAGAAACAATAAGAAAATATATTTGAAATTTGGGACTTAGTTAATACGCATTGAATGAATTGACTCACCTGGTTTGTTATTCTTCAACCGTGAGGCATATAGAACAACTTATACTAAATAAATGACTTTTCACTCCTGTATAATAAAACAATTTATTTTAACAACTGTAATAAATTAATGTATAAAAGTCTTATAACTGTAGCCTTGATATTCTTGGTATTCAATATAGTAAGCCTCTCTTCCCAGATGACTTCCTCTCGCTTCCGTCCTTATGCCTCAAGTGCCTGGCGTCCTCTTCCAGCTGCTGCTACCTGATCGGACCTTTTTCCTTCTTTTCGATTGTTTATCGATATGAGATTTTTCAATGAGCAATTTGTCCACTGCACCATTGAGTACAATTCACAGTGCAACCTCACATTTCTATATATTATATATTCCTTCTCATTCCCTCACACAATGTCGTCTAAAGGAGTAAATACAGGGGGATGACTACTACAAATGTCGTAAACGTTTAAATTTGTTTTTAAGTTTGAAAAAAAAGTATTTAAAATCAACCAAATTAAGGTAATAATATTGTTTAAAATACTATTGTAGATGCACTCTTTTATGTTTCAAACCTCACGTTACACACTGACCTTAACATTCCTTTCATCTCGCCAACTGCCACTGACCGCTTTAATAAATTTCATGACAGACTGACTCTAAATTCCAATCCACTTACTCAAGCTCTATCTACGGCCACAAATCCATATTATCCGCCCAGAAGACTGATGAGGCGCTGGCCAAGAGACTTTTGAATTGAATTGCTGCATTATCTTTTTCCTTTGTGTATTATTATGTGTTGTTTACTACTGTCTTATTTTATTTTTACTTCCCTACCTACACTAGGTAAGGAAAGTATTGTGATCGCGTCAAATTTCCGACATGCGGTTTTCGACGGATCTATACGTTTCAGAGCCTCCTGAGTCCGGAAAACACATTTTTAGCCATTGGTTTGTCTGTCTGTGCCAAGATTTTCTCGGGAACTACTGAACCGATTTTGTTGCTTCTTTTTTTTTATTTTGTAGGGATTTGACTACTGATGCCTGTGACAGAAATTCGTTGCTTCATTCGCAATAACTTGATAATGAAAAAACATGTTTTTCTATAGACTATAGCGCAAAAACGGCTCAAACATTTTGATGAAACTTTTCTATGATGTTCTAATCATTGTCCTTTCAATTTTCGTATGTAGACTAAATTCCCGAAAAAATTCAGGAAAAAAAGTGATAAAGAAAAGAAAAATGTTATGGGGCCTAACTCCCTAAGTATATATTATACAGTAAATTTTGAAACTTTTGAAAGGTAATTAAATTACCAACAAAACAAAAATCATCGGAATCGAACCAGTATTAGCGATGATACAGCTTATTCTATTTTCTACACATTTTTTTAACTTATTACTTTCCTACCTATACTAGGTAAGAAAAGTATTGCAATCGGGTCAAATTTCCGACAAGCGGTTTTCGACGGATCTATCCGTTTCACAGCCCCTGAATCCGAAAACACATTTTTATTGTTTGACAATACTAAGCTATGGCAAAAAGTTTTTGACCAGCAATATTAGTGAGTATTGAAATGTTTACACTGATCTACCTTAAACAGGTTTCATTGCTTTAGTTTATCAAATAAATCGTACTTAAATCTTTTGTTTGATCAAGCTTCAGGAAAATAAATTTAGTTCAATTCTTTTTTGTTTCTTCATGAACATATTTAAAGATATAAAAACTTTTCTGAAATAGGTAGGAAAGTCGTGTGAGTGGACATATCAGATATTTTTTTTTGTTTTATTTTTGTCTTTTTGTTTTGTTATTACTATTCTTTTTTCTTTATGCTATCGTTTCTTCTCCTTGATATCATATTTGCTGAATACCGAGGTAGATGGCAAATTTATTGTGAGCCAGGAATATGTGTAAATAATAAATAAATAAATAAAGTTTTATTATATTTGTGTGAAAGAAAAAGTGAACTATTAAAATATTTCATGGAATGTAATCTTAAAAACATTTACTGTAGTTTAATAACTATAGATCTGATATTATATTTTACTTAAATAATCAGGTATCAATCGCCCATTTATTCAGAAAAATCATCATGTAAACACATAAGAGGCAATGCAAATCTCGTAATTAAATTTTAGTAAACTATGCAATGGAAAAAAACAGTTTAATAATTAATAGTCATACAAACCATAATCAGTGGATCGTATAATCCATAATCAACCGTCGAATTTAATAAGTAAGATTTTTGTTATTTTAATTGTAGTTATGATATTTTAACCCTAAGCTTTAAGCTTTAGCTCGGTTAAAAATGCAATTCAAAAATTTTATAATTGCCCAAAATTGTCATAAAATAATTTATATTCAAGTAGAGCAGTAATTGAAAGTTGTGTGTTGCGCAGACCAGATTTTTATGTATATGTTAATTACTCTATCTTTTTTTTAAATGGTTGTTTTGACAATTATAATTATAATAATAATCAACATTTTATCATTGATAACTAGAATGTTAAAGGTCAATCAAAATTTAAAAATTAATATTTTTTTTAATGTTTCAGGAATGACTGGAAGACGATGAATTTAACTTTCCACATCCCTTACGCTCATAATGAAGGAGATTATACCATCAATGGACAGATCTTGGTACTGCCGATATCTGGATCAGGAAGAGTATCCATGGATTGGTGTAATTATTTCTAACCATTTTTACTATTTTATTTATTTCTTTACTGGTTTTCACAAATATATCACACATCTAAGGTAACACTTAGATTACAGGCCGTAATCATATCCAAAGAAAACATGGTGCTTTCTGATTGTTTATTTAACAGCTTGGGTGGTGCAGGTGCACCATCAAAACTGATTAAAGGGCACATTTTGATGAGGTCTTGAATTGTTGAGAGGGGCCAAATTTGACTGGATTATGAAATTGTGAATGAAAAGTTTCAAACCAAGGGATAAGGGGAAACATGCACCAGACCGCAACTAGTGTGATTAATTGTATCTACTTGTAATTCTACTTTCGCTTGCACTGCTTTTAAAAAGAGTAAATATCTTGGGAAGGAGTGGGGTAGCTCAGTGGTAGGGTACTGAACTTTCAATACTCGAGGTCCCAGGTTCAAATCCCGGCTCATGGCAGAAAAATTATTTATTCTGTTTCATCGTCCGTGAGGTGACTCTAGGGTAATAAAGAGACCCTCCTGGGGCACACCCAGCCTATATAAAGTGCGTACTCTTAATTCAAATAATTAATTTAGGGGGGGAACCTGGCGATTGAGCTTGATCCTGGCCCGTTCTCCTTCCCGCACAACTATTGGCCTTGAAACAGTATTTTCCCTAAACAGTACTGAACCCAAGACCCTTCATAGGTTGTAGTGGTACAGGTTTAAATATTTTGGGAAGGAGAGACTTTCTTTGGAAAAATGAGCAGTTATTTAACCATTTTTATAATATACTTTATATCAGCGATAACAACTTTTATCTATTTTTTTTTTTTTTTAATTTCTAAGAAACCTTTTAGGAAAAAGTTCTTAAAATAAAAGTTTTAAGGAACTTTTTTTATAATAAAGTCTTAAGTTTATCATAAAATTTTAACTTGTATTTACTTAAGTTCTTAAAAAAAGTATAAATGGGTAAAACAATAATTGGGCATAGATTAGAGTTATAATATATCTTAAATGATTTACTTGATTCTAATGTGTAGTTTGTTTTAGTAGCAATTATTATTTTTTTAGATAGACTTTTTGGCAAAATCAACAAATCTTTACAGATAATCTTTTCTGTTTTTTTAAAATAAAATTTATGTAAAACCTTAACTTAAAAACTGTTTGGGAAAAAGTTCTAGTCTCGAAATAATAGAAAAAAATTTAAAATAAAGATTTCAGTCATACTAAAACTGATCAAGAATAAAATTTAAAATTTCATTTTAAGCCATGCTTTAATATAGTTTCTAGTTTATATTAACCCATCTCTGAATAAAGTAGACATTATTTGTACTGTCATTGCTGAATTTAAAAAGAAACTCAAAGAGGATCGAATTAAAAAAAGAAATTTTGGGAGAAAAAAATGCTGGGTGAAAATCAGAAATCCTGAGAATAAAAGGAAAAATCTGGTTCTCATTACCCATAGTACCACAGAGTTCCACTCCAAAACCAATTTCTTGCTAATGTGATCGATCTAGTTTTCCTAGTTGTAAGACCGAAACACAATAGCTTTTGTACCGATTTCTTTTTATGCCCAGAGAACACTAAGCCTGGTAATCTATTCTTTATTTATTTATTTCTGGTGAGATATAACGCATGCCTGCCTAACAATACTGCGGCTAGTAAAACAATAAAGATTCATAATTTTTCCTGAGATGCCCACATAGCTTGCTCATTTGTCGTTGGGACTACTCACCATCTTATTCTGCACTTCCTGTATCTGGAGCCTTCCTGGTGCAAAACTTCTCTTTTTCATAAGGAGAAGTGGCTTGGTCTAACAATTGCTTCAACCCCCACAGAAAATCCTCAAGCTCAATTAATTTTTCTCACTCATCAGCTGAGGGAAATAGCTCTCTATTAATATGTGGAGACCTGTTTTCCTCAGCAGTTTGTTCCTTAGTGCCCCATAGACAGTATAGGGCAAGATCATGTGCTAGCCAGTCTCCGATACTCTGCGACTGGAATATAGAGGATCGATATTCTTCCCAAGTTGAAAGAGCTTTGTTCAGAAGCCCCATATCCAGTGAGTAGTTAGGAAGCCCAATAATCAGATTTTAACCATTTCGCTGCAAACTGTAAACCAATGGTAGGAAAATATAAGTAAGAATATTTTTTTCAACAGTGATATATTCCCCCATTTTTTTCCACTCAATTATATCATTACATATAACGTTTCAGGATCCACTTTTATCCCATCTTCAGACAGTATCCTGCAATCATCTTAATTCTCCATAAGACTTGTCATGTTAATAAAATGTTTTATTTTTTGTCTAATATATAATGTCTTATATGTAATGTTATTAATGTTTTTTGTCTTATTAGACTCTCCCTAGAGGAGACTATCACTTCTTACCCATTGCATTTATGCTTTCATATAATAACAGTAATTTTTCTTATCATTTTTGTATCTTGCAGATGACTTGAGTTACATATTTGAAATGACCTTCAAAGAAATAACAAAGGATGGAAAAAAATATTACCAAATTGAGAAAATTCCAGTAGCCGTAGTGCCCAAGAAGGTATCTTTTAACTTTGGGAACCTCTTTAACGGAAATAAGGAACTCGGTGAGGATGATCACATTTACTAATGACATGTTTTTTTACAATAATTTATATTAATTTACAATTTTCCTTATTGGTAATAGGAGATAACACAAACAAGTTTCTTAACGAACATTCGGAAGAGATTCTGAACGAATTGAAGCCAGCGATGTCGAAAACCCTCGAGAAAGGCTATCGAATCTACATTAACAGGATACTGGCCAAGATACCCGCTGAGGAAATTGATGTTAAATAAAGGAATGCTAAGCAAGATATTCTCATAAATAATCGTCTATCATTAGAGTATGCAACAATTTTGCAAATGCATTTGCTGCAATAGTACATTTGGTATTTATAATAACATCTTTATAAATCTGTTACCCCAATCATGTACATTCTTAGTTGGTACATTTGTGTATATATGGCATAAATATATATCAATATATTGACTGAAAACAAATTCGTCTAGCTATAATTAATTATTTTTAAATTTTAACTTGTATTAAATTGTAATATTTAATGTATTTACAAATTTTAGCAAAGCAGAAATTGACTACTGTTCAACAGCAGATTTGTTTTAGAAGTTTTGGATGCTACCCCTTTTAGTTCTTGAATCTCCAAAAATAATCATTGTTTTATAGTTATAGATTAAATGGAGATAAGTACTACATGCTTAATTAAGCTGGTTTTTTTTAGTAATAACAGATTAATTTAAATCTCAAAATACAATTTAATACAAATTTTGCCATTCCTCAAAAATAAGACGCCTGTTCTGATTGTATAAAAATCCACCATTGCTTTTGTTATTTACTAATTTATTTATGTCCAAATAGTTATTTCCTAATGATTGGTATTAATTAATAATTAATAATAAAAATAAAAAATAAAACAAAATTAAATGTTTTAACTAAGGTATCTGAATAGGTACTATTATATACTTTTCTACCCTCCTCTGCACCAAATTTCTCCTTTTCCTCACCCAGTATAATTAATATTATTTTATATGAATTCACTTTCTCTCATTTTTCAAATATTTCTCAGATTGGTTTCTAGAACTACTTTCCACGTATAAATTTTTTTTTTTCTTTAATGTAATTTTGATGCTTTAGTTATTGTTTAAATGTTCTTTTCCTCTATGCTATATTTTTATAAATTTACATTTAGTATAAAACAGTATGGTCTCTATGTAATGTTTTAATAGTTTTATAAAGCGGCTTTGTCCCAGAATATTAAAAAAAAACTATAGTGTGCGCTTAAACCACACAATTAGAAGTGAAAATGTCTATAAGGCAGACTTAACAATATGAAATATAAAAATTCTTTTGTTGTATATTCAAAAATTAATACCATTTATTATATATACAATTATAATTGTGTTTAAATTGCTCCGGTAAACTTTGCTCCAACCGATCATACTAAGCCAGTAACATACTCTAAAAATTAAATCATAGGTTAATGATAACTAAAGTATGTGATGATCGTATACTCTCATTATTTTAATATGACAACATTTAATGTGGAATACATTAAGATTTGGTTATTGACACAATATTTTTTCCCTGTTGCCTCTCTAATATGGCGTCACGTCAACATACAATTTTGTATAAAAGGTCACTATGAAGAGAATGAATTGCTGAACATTTTACTTGCTTAAAATATGCAGGTCTAATTTTTAATTTCAGAGATATTTTAATCGAAATGCGAAAACACTTTAATTAGTTGACTTAAGCTGACTTTATCCGAATGGCTCAGTTTCGTTCACTCCCCACAAAAAAGTGCAAAACGCAGTTAATAAAGAAATTTTCATTTAATTTCCTTAAATCTTTAATTATTTACTATTATGAAACATAAAAAATGTAAATTAGTCCAGGATTAATGTACAGGATGTAAATTAGCCTTGGAAAACCCTGTATAGCCTAAAAGACGAGGAAGGAGAGAATAAAAAAAAGTGTATTAAAAAAAGGTTCAGTACTTTGTAAGGAAGTAATATTTCTTAGTCAACGGTTATGAAGGAAGCTGATTAGATCAAGATCACGCTCAGCCATCTGCCAGGTTTCCCGTCTTAATTTAATTTTAATTTAATTGTTATTACTCACTTTTATAGAGGCTGGGTGTGTCCCAGGAGGGTCTCCCATCAATAGAAGGCTGACAAAATAGATAAATAATTTATCTGCCATCAGCCAGATTTGAACCAGGGACCTTGAGCATTGGAAGTCAGCGCCCTACCATTGAGCTACCTCATTCCATTTGAATAATTAGAAATACCTAAAGTATATATTAAAAATCTACATACAAGTGTTGAAACATTTGAAAGGAATATCTTCCGTAGGATAAACACAGTGATCTTGATCAGAATACTAACACATGGAGAAGAAAAAGCAATAAAGAACTGCTTACAGAAACTGGTCAATCAATATCCCATGATATGAAGACACGGAGGTTAAGATGGGCAGGGCATGAAGTTTGTAGCAATCCATCTGGAAGCCTCTACGTAACAATGAATGCCTCAATAGAAGGCAAAAGACAACACGGAAGGCCAAAAAGAAGATGGATAGATAGAATCAACAAAAATACAACAGAGCCTCGTGCAGATAAATGGAAAGAAATAGCCCAAAACAGACAGAGATGGATCAGGCTTCTTAAGGCAGCAAAACATCTAAATGGTCTGTAATGTCAACAGAAAACAAAAAATTATATATATATAAAATATAATATATTAAAAATATTTTTAATATTGTTGGTTAGAACTTCCACTTTATTTTTAATAAAAAAATCTGGTGCGCAGACAACTTTCACTTACCGATCTACTTTGAATAGAAATTATTTTCTAGCAATGCTGGACTATTATAAAATTTTTTGAAGTGCATTTTAAACGGAGCTAAAGCTTAAAGCTTACAGATAACAAGTCATTAAGACCTTTATAATTACAAAATGTTTATTTAATATATCGACAACAGGCAATAAAAATCAAGTCACTTCATCTGCTTTTATAAACCACACAACTTTCTTTGCTTTTATAAACCACAGAATGACTAACTCCAATTTCAACATTTTTGAGTGATGTCATTTTAGTGATATTTTTAGTTGAAAAAGTTATCTATGCAGACAATGAGTAAGTTGATTCCAGAGGTGGTGATTGCAGTGTTGAAATATAGAACTGAGAATAAAGGTATAAATTTAGGTACTTATTTCTTATGAAAGATGTTCTTAGGAAAGACACTTTATTAAATATCTGTAGAAAAAAGGTTTTTTTTAGTCTCAACAATTAAAAAATATATTTTAAATTTATCCAAATTTTCGCCTCTTCAGAGAAAAAAACTAGAGACCATATCTTTCCCCAAATATACAATATCCCCAAAAAAGCATATACTTTTTGAGTTATTCGGAATTTAATTTTAACATCCCTAGTGACTTTTTTTCCAGCTTCTTTTCATTGAAGTATGTTATATAGATAAATTTAAAGGGTATTGAGAAAATGGCTTTAGCGAAGTTTCATTGAAATCGGTACATTCGTTTAGGCGCTACAGTCTATAGCAACGCAGGTTTTTCTGCATGTCTATTTTTTTTTCTCCTTTATTAACTTATCAAATTCTTTCAAAAGTTATATGTAGCATTTTTTCGTAACTCTGAATAAAGCGAAATGGTTAACTTTTTAAAATAAACCATATTAAAGGTACTTTAGAGGACGACATATATGAACATTGGGCATTTAAGCCCTGTAAAGTGACATTAACGGGGATAAGACCTAAATGATATTTAAGACCACTTAATTATACAATGATACACCGAGTTTGTTCAAAATTGTCAGAGCTGTTTTTGAGAAAATTGTAAAAATGTGTTTCAGCATTCATATAAAGTGGCACTTCAGGTTAGCCGATTTTAACGAAAAAGTTGCTGTCACATCCGGCCCATATACAAATCTTAAATACTTAATATCAGTTTCGTACTACTTTTCGTTTATGAGCTAGACTGTTAACACACACACACACACACAGACGGACAGACACACACCGACCATTTTGCGACACTTGGTTATTTGAACTCAGGGGACCTCAAACCATGTATTTCCGTTGAAAATTAAGATTTGAAAATTTTCATGATCGCAATACTTATCCTTACTATATATTACATATATACGTAAGTGAAAGTAAAAAACACACGTCTCATCCACAGTTTACTTTTATTTCATACTCAACATCTTAGCCCTCATGTCATTTTCAAGGGAAGAAACTCCACTCAGGAGGTTTTAGTATTAGACAGTAAGTATGAGATAAGAGAAAATTAACCCAACTGATTTTATTTATATAATAAAGTATGGTTTCTTCCCTTTTAAACATTGAGTGTAAAGTAAAAATAAAATAGTTCTAATAGCTGTTTATTATTATTACAAATTAGAAATGTTTAGAAAGCCCTAGAGCAGCGCTTCTCAATCTTTTTATAAGGATGGTTAGGTTTTAGAAAATGGATAATTGATCCAAAATATTGAAAATTAATTGATTAATATAGAGTAGTTGTTGCAGTGTGAAAAAATATTTTATATTTCTTGTATTTTTTGTTTTTTATTACAGTTAATTGAATGATAATACAAACTGCCTCATGTTTATATTAGTTATTTTAAATATGTAATCATTTTTCTTCCTAAATTAAAATTTTTTAAAAGTAAAAAATAAAAAGAACCTTTCTCATAATTGCTATAAGAGAATATTATGAAACTAATAATGCCATATAATACAAAGGAACAATTGATAATCAAAAATCACATAATAACTTTCTTAAAAACAATAACAGATGCGATTGTACCATAAAAATTTTAAAATCGTAAATTTTTATATAATATAAATTTGTAGTTTAAATACCTGTTATTTATAAGGTGTTCATGCACAACAGCTAACAATCTGAAAAAAAAAAAAATACTCATTCCTCAAATTCATTAAATAATGTCCTTTATTAATAAATATATGATTATATGGGCTACAGAAACTTATACATGTGATGTAATAATATATGATTGGTTTTATATCAAAGATGGACATCTGCCATCTAAATTAGGAAAAAAAAAACTTTCATTGTAGGACTTTATTTGAAAGAATTATGTTCATTTCATTTTTTTCATAACTCAACTTAAACGTTGTTTATTAATTCCTGAAGGATTTGAAATCAATATAATTTGAAAACTTAGTCATATTCTTCTTTGAAAATACAGATGTCCATTTTTTAAACAAATATTCACAATTGTCGGTTTTTTAAGCAAACATGATTGTAGATAGAAATGACTTCGATAATTGTTTTCATAACTAACTCACCTATGAAGCTAAAATCAGCTTTAAAACGTACTAGGAAATAAATATAAAATGTTAAATGTAACATTCGTATTTACATTTGTAGAAATTTTAGATATACAAAATCACATCAATTACAACACTAGATCTCTATCAAAATCTTCATCTGCATCGGCACATTCACAAACATTATCTGATAAAATATAACTATCCAGGGATTCTAGAAGGCCAGGAGTTTTTTTTCTAATATTCTCCTTTTTGTTTTTCCCAAAATTATTTTCTAACATTTCCACGTAATGAAGTTCTTTTTTTTTTTGAGTGATATGCTTGAGGTTATTTCCTTTGGATTTATCATGATCAGTTAAGGTCTGCAATTGAGGCTACAGATTGGCCTCTCTGCTCCAGTATCGATGTTTTAAGCCTGTTGTCCTTTTGCTAATCCATTTCCCAACATATTTATCTTCTCTTCTCTTCCATCTTCAAGTTCTTCCATCTTCTCTTCCAAGTTTATCTTCTCTTTAGCTACACTAATTTGTAAATTTATCAACAGAGAACTCCTACAACTTATCATTTTCAACTTAAAAGTGGATCCGCTTTTCATTTTGATTTAATAAATACATCTGATGGT